GTTTTAAGAAACATGACCCAGGGCCATCCCTTTCCACTCCAGGTGTCATTTTGGGTTATGCTCTGCGAGCTTTTTTTGTGATTGGATTCATTCCATTTCCCCCCAAATCATATGGAGTATATAATGGTATAAATGTATATATATATATATGATATGGGTTTGTCTGAACATAGGGTGCCTTCAAAATTGATGCTTTATCATCATTTTCCCTATGAAATGGCAATCTTTATCGGTATTCCCATTTTCAGACACACCAAAATCCTAGAGTATACCCCATTATATAAATCCTATTAAATCCCATTACCATAAATGCACATATATCGATGGTCAATCCCATGAAACTTCAACTTCCATTGAATCCCACATTAAACCACCATCAAATCCCATGAAATCCCATTAAAATAATGGCGAACTGCTCCCCTAAAAAGGCCCCAAAACATCTCGCGCAGGCCCGAGCTGCTGGTGCCCTGGAGAAGGTGATGACTCCCCCGGGCGGCCATAGGCCGAAGGTGCCTCAAACAGCTGTTTAATTGGGGGGTTACCATTGAAGTATCAGATTTTGACTTTTGGGGGAGTACCTCCGAAAAAAAATTAAACCATGGATTTTGATTTATTACTGCGGGGTTGACATTACTTTGTGCAGTTCACGGTACCAAAATCTGTGGAAGTAACCACATGTGGTGAGGCACCCCATGCTTACCCTCCGCCGGAAGAAGAGGCCGTTTCAGTGGATGGGGAGCAGAGATGTCCTCGAAATAGATGATGCTAAAAAGATGGATTTAAACAGTTGAAACATGTGGAACATATGTAAATTGATGCCTTGGACTAGGATTGGGACTTGTGCTTAGACGTCCTTTACCTGGTGGTTGGTTGATCTTTTATTGAACAACCATTCGGGGGACAGAATGGAATGGTCCAGAGTGCCGTGGATGGGGGTTGTACCGTGTTGTGGGAGCCCAATTCGAAGGACCCCCTAACAATGGCAAGATGGGTTGCGCTCATGTTTCATCCATATTCCCTGAGCAGTTTTGAAGCTGATTTTGAACCCCCCCATAATTTTGAAACATGACTATCATATAATCATATACTCAATAATACTTAAATACTCCACCAATTTCCACTTTTGACTACTCGAGATGAACACGATCAATCTCCTAAACTTTGAGGTAATGATCCCCAAATATTGAGGGGATGCTCCCTCAAATCACTCAAATCAGGACATCATCATGGAATTATCAAACGGAACAATCCCCAAAAAGCCTGAGGTAAGGAAAATCTTCAGGAAAACATAGAACAACCCTATATGGAGGTTTCCTAAAATGGGGGAACCCCTTAAATCATCCATTTTGCTAGGATGTTCCATTATAAACCATCCATTTTGGGGTATCCCCATTTATGGAAAACCCTATATTTTGGCGGTAAAAAAAAGACTTTCCGGTAGGCCACCAGCACCGCCACTGCTATGGTGGTCTCGGAGGTGAAGGAGATTGCCAGGACCGCCATTTTCTGAGTTGGAGGAGGATTTGTTCTCCAACGCAACCTCCGGAAAAGACAAACACGTATGAAAAGTCCTGCAGTACCAACATAGCGATGTATACTTTTCTACTTTTTTTGGGAGTTATTATATATAGTTGGACTTGTTCACATGGGATTTGGGACATGAAGTGAAAAACCTGAAGCAACTGGTGGTTGCATCATCCCCAGAAAGTGTGGATCACGTAGCCCTGCTTGTGACGCTTGTGCTTATGAAAGATCTCCCAGAGGGTTGGCAAGTGGCTTTTAGTGCTTTTATTCTATCCTGTGTATTAATGTGGTAAACCAAAAAGAAACACACCATCCCTAATTGTGCTGTATTTATTGTTGGGGAACCATGGTAGACCCCTGTTTCGGATGATATAAAATTACCCCCAAATGGTTTGCTACATTGCAACTGGATGGGATGTATTTGGGACACACTGTGTGCATATTGTACCCTATTTGCAAATTCTATTTACTATTTACTATATATATATATCACGATATTATCACATCTTCTCTGCTTCAGAAATGGTATATCGGGATGTACGGATGTGCAAATTCAGTTTCAAGTTTTGCAACCTAAACTAGGAAATATGCTCTTTAACTTTATAGATTGCAACCAGCTATTACGGACATCCCAGCGTTACCTCATACAGTAGATGTTTTTGGTTTTAGAACATGGTGGAACTGACAATTTTTGGACAAATCGCACCACCATGTGAGGCTCAAGGGCGGACATCCCCCCATGCGGGATAGTTTCCAAAAATGGGGACACTCCGAAATCACCCATTTAAATCCATTTAAATTTAAATCCATTTAAATCCATTTAAATCATCCATAATCAACCGGATTTTCCATTCTAAACCATCCAGCTATTGAATGTACGGACGCCGGCTTCCAGGCAAGTACGGGAAGAGCTGGGGCGCTTCCATGGCGAGGTCAGCACCCAACTGCAGGTGCCAAGGGATCCAAGGGATCCCCCAAGGGGATCCCCCAAGGGGATCCCCTTGGGGGGGATGTGACATGTGAAACCCTCAAGAAACATCAGGAAAATCGCCAATGATCATCCCATATACAGTCATAGTCAGTCAATGTCAGTCATATACATAGACATAAAAGTTCAACTATACATGTAAATGACAATTATCATCCCAATTGTAGATGTAAATGACAATAAAAGTTCAATGATCATCTCATAAACATAGCCACGGCAGGATATATCACCTATAAATAGGTCATGTTCTACAGCTATGTCAGCTATGTTAGTTTCGTGGAGGGTATCCTAGCTTTCACCTGGGTCCAGGTCTTGGCTGAATCGGGAAGACGGCCAAAAATCCAGTGGTTAGGAGGGAGCTAAGGAGGGGCTATCCATATTCCCAATTGATCCACAATCCCACCCCCTCTGCTATTGAACACCCCCTAGATGGTCCCAAATATGTGGTTTCATCCCCTACATTTCACTATGATTTCTGAGGGGGGATGAATATGCATTAGGTGGATGGGATTCAATGATAGTTTGGTGAATTCTAAACCATGAGAATTCGCCATTCATATTCCCATCAAATCGCAATTTTTCGTGGTAAAAAAGCTAAGGTTTGCCAAGGTCTAGCCGCCAGGACTTGAAGGTGCTGTCCAGCGAAATGCGAAGAGACGTTGAGGTGCCGTGAAAATGGATACCATCATGATATCATGGTCCATAAAATTCCATAGATCTGGAACAATGATGGTTGTGTTCCTAATTCCAAAAGATGGATCATAAATGGGCCATTGATGGCCATTGGGTTTTCAGAATGGAAAGGGTTGGCAAAGTTCTGTACTGCAATGCTAGATAGTGGCATGTCTGAAAACTGGAACTGCCTCCATTTTCTGTTTTTTTTTTTTTTGTGTGTGAGTGAGATGAGGAACCTCAGAAGATTTGTGTTTCTTTCTGTAGAAACTCATCTCGTTCGTGCGTCATGAATGTTTGGAGAGCCGGGCGCATCGATGTTCAAAAGCCCTGTTGGTTGATACCCTCTGGTAATTTAACATAGCTATTGAAAATCACCATGTTCAATAGGTAAACCATCTATAAATGGGCCATTTTCAATAGCTATGCAACAAATTACCAGAGGGTACCTGGGATCATGGCCCAATGGGGATGAGCCACGACCCAGGAACTGCGAAGCCAAGTGAACGACAAGAAATCTACCGCGCCGATGCCTTGGTCCGACCTGATGTTCCCATCCCTTGTTGTACATTGTATCGAATCCCAGACATTTGGAAACTATTTTTCAATACATATCATTGATTTATATATATATATATAATTGTATATATATATATATACAGTGCGTGTATATATGTATATGTATATATATATAGTTATATATGGAGGCTGTATATTTTTTGTATATATGTCTATAGGCTGGTTGTTTTTGTTGGAACACCTTTCCCCCAAAAGATGTCGCCAGGTTCGGCACCTCCACTGTGACGACCATCAAGCCAGATGCACCTTGGTGCCTTGAGGATGGCTCCTCAAAATCGATAGGTTTCCTTGGAAACCTGGGAATCATGGGGTAAATATACCGTTACATAGGGTATTGCACGCTATATACTGTAATATAATAAATATATATATATATAATTATATATATATATGCACAGTGTGCAATACGTATAGTATTGGTACATGTTATATATATATATATGTATACTGTAACACGCACAGATACTGTAAACACTCTGGTTGCAACTCTTCTACACCTGCTCCGATCTACCGCTCCAACATGCTGGACACGCATTTTTTTTTGACGAATGAATCAGCACCTCTGCCCCTACTATTGTCATTTTCCACAAGGCAACCCAGGAATCAAGAAATTACTTGAGAACTGGATCAAATCCCATTTTTTAGACTGATCAAAAAGCGTTCTTTTAGCATGAACAAAACATGTCATCACGGCTAATGTTTGCAACTTCAAACCTAATTAGGACCTAATTTTTGCCAGTGAAGTCCAGACTTTTCGCTGTTAAAAAACTCAATTTTTCGCGGGTTGAGGACCCTTTAGCTGACGTTGCCGGTGGCTCCTTGGTGGAGCTAGAAAGGAAGATTCGGGACCGCAACGATCGCATCAGGTCGGCATTGATCATGGGTGCAGTTGGGTTTGTTTTACCTATCACATAATATATATATACACACATGGAACCACACACACACACACATATATATATATACATATCATGTTTGAATTATATACATATATACATACATGGAACTATCTATATATATATACACACATGGAACCACATATATATATAATTATATATAGATAGTTGGTTATAGCTATGATAATGAGTGGTTAATAGTTGGTTAACGGTGTTGATTAATGGATATTATACTATAATATGATGGATATTAATATGGGTGAAACCATGGTATACTCTAGCCCTTATAAGTTCGGTTATAGTGCCCCTATAACTATGGTGAAATATATCCATTTGCAAGTGGTTTGTGAATGTATTTATAACCCGTATATAAGTGGGGATATTCCATCTATACCTGGGGCATAATATGGTTATTACCGAGTGATTATGTGGAATCCAACCCCTAAGTATGGGGAGAGTTTTGCCCTTTGCAGATATCTGCAGAACAATTCCAAGCTCATGATTTATCTTGATTATTCCCCAATGTCAGCAACTTTGGGGGGGATATCATTCCGGTGAAAACTGGGTTCACCACACTGCGAAAAAACCATTCGGGCTTGTCCAAAAATGTGGATCCCGGCGCAGGCGGGAGAATGCGGCGATGCGGGAAGAGTGCCTTGGCAAGGAGAACACCTGCATTTTTTCGGCATTCTGAAGTAGATAGACTATGGAATTTTCAGAAAACAACTCACTGACATGGACATCATATTATGTTGAAATTTCCATATTCTATCTACTTCAGGATGATCATAAATAAATACCAAGAAAATCAACATGGATTTTGAAAACCAATGGATTTCCCAGGAAATGATCCGTAGATGGTGGAGTGATGTGGTGTGTACATATCAATGTGCTGGAGCGTATGATAATATTGTATGGCCACATGGATAGGGCATTGGATACACATATAGATTCTGAATTCTGTATGGCTACATTGCATATGATATAAGAAAGACGGGCATTCTCTGCGGGGTGCTCTGGCCAAATCCCCAGGATTGGTTGCTGGCCAGCAATCCTGGAGTCTTCAAAAACAAAACTGGATCAGTTTGTTGGGGAATCCTGGTTTCAACCAACCAGTTCACGGGGTTCACTAACCGGTGGGAATGACACTTGATGGGTTTTGAACGCTCCGATGGACCATATTCCCAGTCATTGGATATCATTGGATCAACTGAGGAATAACAAGTTGAAGATGATGGGCCCCAAGGCGGATTGAGACCTCAGAGTGGTCTGGCAGTCTCTTCAAGCGCCCAGATATCATCACTTCTTGTATCCTGAGCCCAGAAGTCCTGAAATTCCAATTCGGAATCACGTCAAGCAACAAATGAAGACATACATACATTATCATACATTGAATTTCCACCCTGAAAATCTTCTATAATTCCAATTTGGAGGATTTTTCTTGGAGTTCCTCAGGGATCCCACCGGAATTGGTTTCACCTTAGCCAACTCCGCCCCGTTGGGTGGAGCCGAAGTTCGTCTCGCCTAGCGGCCTCACTGAAGGTGGGGCCAAGCAGCCAGCCAAGCAGCGGGGACACCATAAACTGATGGTTTAAACACATGTAAAAAACATTTGTCAAATGGGAGGTTTGCTATTGGGTTTATCATACTACAAGACGAGGAAACAGACACACACACACACTACCTATGAATGAATAAATAAATAAATAAATGAATGAATGAATGAACGAATGAACGAATGAACGAACGAATGAACGAATGAACGAACGAACGAACGGACGGAGAATGATCTCTGTCAAACTGCTCGATGTCAATACACCTTCGGGAAAGCCCACAAAAGTAGAATTGGCAGAGTTCTTTTTAGTTCTCTGGAGTCAGTACAGTAGTTCGGGTATATCTCGGTGCGTGTATTTGTATGTAGAAATCGGTATGATGCAAGGTTATAAGTTATAATTCAGTTTCAGACCCTTAAAAGAAACCATCTGAAGGGTTTTCCCACGGCAAACTGTTGGAAGCCCCTGCAGAAAAAGACAGGAGTATGCAGCAGGAACCAGCTAGTATCTAGAAACACATGCCACACATTTCGCCCCAACCCATCAAACCGATTGAATTGCATATATGGCGCCTGAGTTTCCGTGTTCACAAGCCTGGGACACAGTCACCCGCTGCAAAGTTGGCCACTGGCTGGGCCCAAAGTTGCAAACCTCCGCCACATCAGTTTGGGGCCAGAGAAGCAGCTGCCACTTGAGAGTGGCAGATTTTTCCACTGCAGGTGAAAGGTGGATTGCCCTCTGGTGCCATTGGACCAAACATCCATGGTTGGGACCCTGACCCAGGAGCGAATAGCTCAGGTTAGATGGAATCCTCCAGCGAGAAAGCCGTTTTTTTTTCAATGATTGTCCCCAAACCTCAGCAGGATTCTGGAAAAACATGCTTTTGAACTGTACTAAGTTACTAAGTCTTTAGTGACCTACATGAAGCCAAAGGCCGCAGGCTGGTTGTGGTGTGACGTGGCGTATGCGATACGTTGTCCCTCATGCTCTTGATGCCAGGATTCGATGCCTCGGAAGCCATGGGGGAATTTTGCATAATTTCCGAGGTTCCATTGTGTGACTGCCAGAAGATTGTGGTCATTTGATGTCATTTGTGTTGCTGTACTCAATGGCTTGACCGCAGTGGAACTCTGTTAGTTTCACGCTCCGGACACCGGACGAAGAAGCACTGGAAGCCCGAAATGCAGGGAACCGGAGGTCGTCAGCCCTCCAAAAGCCACAGTCCGGGTAAACCTTGGGTTGCGTACCTTGATGGGCCACGTTTGCCAGGCAACATTATATCTTGCTAAGCAACATTATTTTGTTGCAAGTATCTAAGACTGCCCACGTAGTTGCCATAGTTATTTTTGGGATTTTGTTGAACACGGTATCGGAACAGGGAGCAGTTCTTCCCCAATGAAAATGCAACTTTGATCACCGAAGATGCGATAAACTCCCCCCCATGGAAGTGGACCCCCTCAAGCGGTATCTGTGCACTGACACAGACTTTCAAGAGCCCATAGGTTTCCAAAGCCAAGGGTTGTCAAGGCCATCGTGAAGCAAACTTTACACACATGAAAAAGCTTCCAAGCTCCCAAGGTCGTGAAAACTGCCCCTGAGGTGGGGACGATCACCTGTTTGGACGTTTGCATCACCTGGATCAGAAGCAATGTATTGGCGGAGCTTATGTGTGGTTATGCCCTTAGAGATGTAGACCATGGTATAACTGGGAGTACAGATATTACATATATGAACCACTTGCAATTCCTAAAAGACTCAACCATGTAACATGCGGATCCAAACTACACACATGGGGGAGAACTGACCTTTGATAGGGCATCTGATAGGGATTGAAGGCTGTTGGCGTATGCTGTTGGCGTGCCTTTTAATCAAAAAGTCACAGAATCGGATGATATCGGATGCACTGAACATTTGCAGAACCCCTGCCTCATATGATTGGCTAGATTTCCTCTAGATTTTCCCTTCAACTCAATGAAATACAACTGGTCAGGGTTCGTCAGCGCAGGTGCCTGGGGGCTGCCATCCACTGAGCGTGGCAGGTAGAGCAGCAGTTGGCTCAGGGCTCAAATGCTTTGAAGATGATGAACCAAAGGGACAATGATAAAGTTGATACCTGCAAAAACATGAGCTGTTTTTATTATCTTTTATCATGTAATGTATCTGTATATCTATGTGGACATGTTGATGATATTGCCTAATAAGTTTGAAAGATGCTTACACATGTAATGGATTGATCAAGTTTATTCCACCCCCGCCAACCCCCCTTTTTTTGGTGACCCTGAACATGAACTCTTCGAAGGATGCCGGTGGACTGGTAATGCCGGTCAGATACTGCATATGATATAAACTGATGCATGCATTGGGTTGGCAAACCCATGATCTTTGCAGAAAACATGTGCTGAACAAACAGCAGTGGAAACTCTGCCCACGAACGCAGACCATTCGCCTCTCAATCAATGAAGTTGATCTTCTCTTGATTTGCTTCTATAAGACTATAATTTCCTATAGTGCTATGTTGGTTGGCCCCGTGCAAGCTCCTGGGTTTTCAGAGACTGCGAAGAATTTCATGCGACGAAGAAGCAACCGTTGGAGGGTGGGTGTTTTTGGAGGCGAAGCAGATGATCCTGGTAGCTTCAATGGGGAAGAATTGGACTTGCAAAAACCAAATGAATGGACCGCATGGATAAAATCGGATAAAAGATAGATAAACACATCAACAACTACATGAATTAATATTGAATGTGATGTGACTATGTCTGTATACACATGTGTGTGTAGGGTTGTGAGTCATCTATTCATTGGAATATATTTGGGCCCCCTTTGAATCAACTGGAGTTTTATTCGCTTATTATTGATCCTGGACTGATCTTACGGGCTTGGCACTTATGAAGCAACAATTTGCGGGAGCATTCTGGATCTATGACCCAATGATGGCTAAGTAGGCACATCATTACCATCATGAATCATCCTTGGAAGGCTTTCATGCGAGAGAGGGCAGATTGATGAAGGGTCGAATCCAAGCAGCGATAAGCAGCGTATATGGCGCTATAGATAATCCATTAATCATCCGGCAATGTTACCCAAACGATCCCAAGCTTAAAGCGGATGCCTCCTTCACCCTGACCACACTGCACAGGGTGCGCTTAGCTCCAGTGTGCCTCAACATGCCTCAACCCTCAAGTTTCGTAGCAAATCAAGGCCAAAGAGGCCTCAGACTCGCTTCCAAGAAGCGTTTCCCCCTGAGGAGTGCCTTGCAAAGATGGAACAAAGAGGTTGCTTTCGTTGTGCAGGGGTCAAACATGGCCAATCAATGGGTATAACGGTATGACTTACAGTATATAACTATTTTTTTCACTTAAGTTGGGACGTGGGAACATATCCAGTTATAACTGGAACTGGTGCCTCCATATAGGCTTCTGGTGTCCGATGTCAGCACCGGAAGGGACCTCGCAAATTATATATAGATTGGTCGTGTGGTATTCTCCTGGCTGACAAATGGGGTGGTACAGGGAATGTGCAACTTTTACACAATTACAATTTCCGCACCAACAACAACCAGGAAACAATGGTTGCACGAAAGGACCAGCGGATCTTAGGAAATCAGTCGGAGCGATGACTCATTCTCTCCTTTGGCAACTTGTCACGAATGTAGTGGGGGATTTTGAAGTGGCCCAAGGTAATTGGCATGGAGGAGACCGCTCGTGGCATTTTAGGGCCCCAGTTTTGATGGTAGTCCAGGCAGCCTTAACAAAATCACAAAGGGTGGTTGAACAATGTTGAACATGTATGAACATGTTGCAACCATGAAGCTATCCAATGATACTTAAACATTGCGTGTTTGATATGTGTAACTTCAGAATAAACTTCACCGTTCCAAGGGACAAATCTAGGGGTCATCCTTTGCACAAAGTACCGCGCCACCGTAACTTTGTTCAGCGGCCGCACCTGGACCCAACGGGCCTCATGAAGGCACGTCTGGCTGTTCTCGTTCCAGGAAAATCAATTCCATGGATTTGAATTTGGTCCCTTCAGCTACGATTTTCATCAAATTCCGCTGTTTTTTTTTTTAAAACTTTTGCTCAATTTGTATTCAATTTGTTGGGTCCGTTTGAAGCCGCACGTTTCAAACATACGGAGGTGCTGAGACATGCGCGGAGAGGAGGTCGGAAGTCGAGCTACGTTTTGGTGGTTTTCCCAGCAAAGCCACCAATTTTGCAAAGTTTTGTTAGATGATTGCTGGCAAGTTGTTTTGTGACGATTCTTGTGTTCCCAGGTGACAGGTGGGTGTTTTTGCTGAGGTTGGGAAACCACCAACCCACTATAAGACGGTATTTTTTGGGGCCTTCCCGGTGAAACCCTGGCGGTTGAGGGATGGGAAACGGCAGGACTTCCCAGATACAGGTGGGACCGAGCTGGGATGGCAAGGGAAGTGGTGGATTGGGCACTTCCAGAAGTCCCAGCCCCTTTGATGGTAAAAATCATGGCTTCTTGTGAATTATCAATCATCTATATTAATATTATCAATCTATAACTATATATAACTATATAATACTATATATATATAACATGCAAAAGGATACTGTACTCAATCTATTGAAAACACGGTTTCAGGATGTTTCGGTCTTGAGTAATCCAAGCTCGCCATGAAGGAATCCCCAAGGGCCAAAATAGAGGAACATCATGTGCAATGGGGGATGTTTCC